ATAGGCCTTGTTGACCTGGTCCTGAGTTTTTTTTTTTTTTTTTTTTTGGGGGGGGGGGGTGGTGGGGGGCTTGCTCCTGGAAGATTAGGGTGAGGTGACTTAGGCCAATTGGGACTTAGGAATCCTGTCCTGTCTCATTAAGAACACATTACTTAGTGCGTTTTTGCTCTCAAATTCCTATCTCTCGATGGTCTATTCATTGTTTAGATACCAAAGTCGTATGTCATGATGCTTGTCAATATAAAATCAACTGTTTTTAGGATCTTTGGTGACAACCTCTGGCATCTCTGATTTTGATGTGTTTCCAAGCTTTTGCTTCATGACATAATACTTGTGGGGGGTAGGCCCGGGTAGGCTAAACCTTCATGACTTAGCCGCCGCAATTTGGAGGTAGTTTTCACAAGTCCTTTGTCATTTCAGCCTAGTATATATATTTCGAAGGGAAGGGTGCTGCCTACAGGTTCCAATTATCAAACAACTCTGAAAGGGCTAGAGTGCGCGCAAAGGACTTAGCAGCAAGCTGACATGGTGCCCACCCTAAGCACCCTCTGCAAGCGCACGACCGGCAAACCGAGTAATGTGAGCACTTTGGGGGCTGAAAGGTTTTTTCGTAGCTAGAAGCTACTAGGTGGAGGCCATCACTTGTAGGTTGGAGGCCACCGCTGCTAGTAACAAGAAGCTACTAGTACAGTAAGTCCAAGAATCTGTTGGGACTGGCGATCAGGGTCGGTTCCTTGTGTGCCCACTGCCACTTCTTGCCCTGCGCCGCTTTCCTGAATGGCAAGGGAGCATCGGCTTGATACATCAGGGAAGTCATGCATCGAACCAGAAGCTACAAGTAGGAAGCTCACAGGGTAGCCGAGACACAAGCCATCACAAGCCACTTAAAACGGGATTCATGCTATCCACATCCATACTGCCATCTGTCCAACTGACATGAACATGCAAGCAAAAGCTCGTCAATCAACATCAATGCCCAATAGTCAAGTAGCTGAACCACCTTTCCATCGCTCAACTTCCAGAACTTCTTGTTGTCCGATACCACCCAGCCCAGGCTCTTGCCATCAAGGCTATCTATCCAATGCCCTGCCACGATGCAAAGGGGTGCAGAAGTCAGCCTTCAAAACGAGACTCAAATAAAGTAAAGCACATATGACATATAATCATATAGCGTAATGAAGCCCTGAGACGAGAAGTAGGTCATTCAACGCTCAACACGCATGTTTAGAATTTACCTGAACCCTTCCCACTGATTGACCAGCTGTCCAAAATACCCTTGGTTCAAAGTTGTCCATGCTCGTGAGCTCTGGACCATGGAGCTGCAAAATGGCCACTGCTTCATACTAACCACTCCCATCCCGTCCTAACCGCTCGCCCGGGGAAGGCGGCGACGAAGCGCCGTCGTCGCCGTCCGCCATTGCACAATGGACGGGGGAGAGTGGGAAAGAGAACGTCGCGGTCTGGCCGCCGTTTTTTCGTTAGTGGCTTGGAAGGGTACAAGAATGACGCGCGCATGTAAGAGCAAGTTCCATAGTATGACTTTAGCAACTGGTCATCTGATGGAATGTGCGATGTGGCTCAAGACATGGAATGTTGAGAGCCTTAGCTGGAACAAATGTCACTGCACAGAGTCTTGGCAGCATCTGAGGGCTTGATTCGAGCAACTCCACAACAATCTATGGCTGAGACCTGTTGCACCACCCTCTGGGCACTAACTCCAGCTATGGCCATCGCTGAGCCGATACCATCCTCCATCGAAGACATCCACTTGAAAGGGGGACTGTAGGATGATGTGACTGCCGGGATATCAATCAGAATGTTGTAACATCTCTCCTGACTATGCTACATGCATTGTAGCAGCCTTTCCACAAAGAATCTGGCAACTGTGGTGTCTTATGGTACAGCAGTTGGGACTCACACCCCATGGAGTTGTGCCCATCAAAGAGCTTGCACAGGGGATTCACCCTGGCACACCTTGTGCTTGGGCCAGCTATACACAAACCACCAGAACATCCTAACACTCCTAAATATATTTAAAACATATACAATGGTTATACATATGAGGATTTTTATGGATTTTTAATTTAATGATGTTTAATGTATCTCCTCATCACAGGGAACGGCTCCCAGCTGGTGAGAGATCACTTCGTCTCTGTCCGTCACTTCTCGGTCGCCCAAGGTCTCGGTCCCGCCTCGCAGGCGCCCAAGCGTCTCAGGGACACGAGCAGCTGCATCAAATGGGGAGATCCCAACGCCCGGTCGCCTCGGTCGCCGGCCGCCGGGTGAATCCATGAGACTGACGTGATATGAGACTGAATGGGGGCCGGAGCAGTGTAGATCTGAAGATTCATCCTCTTAACACCGCTTCAGATCACAAGGACACCTGGCCTAAAGTATAGTCAAAATTAGAATCGTCGTTTAAGATTGGGTTCTGAGTTCTGAGGGTGTGGGACCTCAAATAGGTTTCCAAATGCATTAACCGCTGATATGGTTGGGCCCTTGGTACTACCAACAACCCGTCTCAACATCACTCGCAACTTTGCTCCAGCTGATTCAATTGCAATCAAATACTCAACCATCTATATGGCAAAGGGTCAAGTCCCCATTCCCCCCCCCGTTCCTGTACAGATCCCAGAGTTCACCCAACAGTTCAAAGAAACGTCCTCCTCGATCCCGCGCCCTTTGGCGCTTGGAAAGTCGGGCGTTGGCCACTCCAAGCCACATGCTGCAATCACAGACATGTAGCCCTCGGCCTAAGTTGGAGCCACGGCCATGGGATCTCAGATGGGCTTCCTGGAAGCTCAGAACTTCACCACTGGGTCAATAGATGAATATAGCGCTAACAGCCAAGAGGTGGGGCTGGGTATAGCACCTGAGGTCCACGCGGGCAAAGTTTTGGCGGTTTTAGACATCTTTGGAAATTTGACACGTGCATGCAGTCTGCTTTATGTATAGTTTGGTTGCTCAAGGCTGGCAAATATATCCGAATTTTGGATCTTATATGGATCTGCCAAAGTGACCAGGGACCATCCGACCATCAAAATCCCCATGCGAGACCGCCTTCGCCTTCACTTGGGCCACCGGGCGTTCACCTTCACCCAGCCATCACCATCATCATGAGCTGAGACCATGGTGCCCCAAGGCAGCACCAAATCTTCCAACTGGAGGCGCTCCGTGCATCGCAGTTCGCACGGGACATGAAGCGTGAGCACATTTGCTTTGTCTGTGGATGGGGGCTTCTCATGGTCGCTTCGCGTGGGAGCTTAGTAGTGGAAAGATATGCAAATGGACTCAAGAATCTAAGAAGACACAGCCACAATTTAACTTCTTCCAGTGTGTCAGGAGGCCACCGAAGAATACCAGAAGAACGGGATACACAACGACTGGAGGATTTGCTTGTGGAAAGCTTGTTGGTTTGCCTTCCCCGCTCGTCTGGCAAACTCCTCATCAACATAAACATATCTATATGTCTATCTATCTATCTATGTACGCATGTCCTAGCAAACAACCCTCCTGAGGACCCATGGCCATTTTGGTGTTCCAAGTTGTAGCATGTTGTAGCCGCAGCCTCTTATGGTGACTCCTGAACCCAGCTTGACATTGAGTTTTGCATAGTTGGCATCTCAACCCGTCCGAGTGCCTCTATCAGGCAGCCAGGCGGCCAGGTCAAGAAAATACTTTACATTCTCGTGCCACAAGATACATCAAAATCTCAACGCCTAGGGGAATGACAGCAGAAGGGCAAATATTTCTCCAGCTGACCAGCGCAGTATCAAAGCATCAGCCAAAAGGTCATGCATCTACCAAATAAACATATAGCCTACTAAGAATGAGACCCAAGCTAACGCTAGTTGGCTGAATGCCATCTTGTGGTTAGCCATCTCCCTTCAACACTTCCGTGCTTTTCTACCCGTCCTCGAGTCTTGAGCATTTGGCCGCACCTTGTCTCCCAAGTCCTTGCTCGTGCGGAAGCTCAGGCCTTGCACCAGAAGGGGCCACTGTGAGGGCCATGCAGGCTATGAGTGTTGATCATGCGCGGGCAGAACCTTCACAAACGACAGAATCAAATTGATCAAACGACAGAACCTCTGATAACCCTGGCCCACAAAAGACATTGTGCTGCCCTCACACCCCTTCCCAATCAACCTCATCCGCCTATATACATGGTTTCGATATGCTTCAATATATGCAGTCTTATTATGTCTTATGTATTAATTAGGTCTTAATTTCTCGCATTCATTCCTTACCACGATCCACCGCACCTCAGGGTTTCTGGAAGAGTATGTTTCACTTGGTAGACCTCTCAAGCCTGTTTCTGCTTTCTAGTACTTGAAATATCTCCATAACGAAAGTTTCAGGGAGTGGTTGAGAATCGAAAGAGACCGTGAGTATGAGAAGGAACATTCTTGTAAAAGGAACGGTATCTCCTACCTGGCTGATCTCAGCTCAACATCCAAGTTGTTGAACTGTGAGATGCCCAAAATTTAAACAATCTTCTCTCATACTCAGAGCTGTGTTCACCATTCACTGTCTTCAGCCCTCCGCACCCTAGGAACCTTGTGTTGGTGCGCGTAGGAGTCGGTTGTCGGCCCGCCAGTGGTTGCCACCCTCATTCCGAAGCACCTCTTTCTCCTGGGGGGGGAAGTGGCATTCTCAAAATTGTCTCATGAAATTTCCCGGAAGAGTCTTGGATTCGCAAAACTGTAGTCGCCACACAGGTACACATTTCTTCAAGACCACTTTCAAGACTGGACATGATTGGAAATGGATTTGGTTCCTGGCCGGCTTCCACCAGTGTCAGGGGAACTGTCAGGGGTGCAGGGGCCGGAGCCCAGTGCCAGAGCTGCCTTTACCCAGGGGACTCCCCTTGGTTCCACTGAAGTTGGGGTCCAAAAACGAGACACGCCATGGCTCGCAACTGCTCCGGTCCAAACTCAAAGAGCTGGAGAAAGCCATGCTTGGGCAGCGCATGCTGCTCTTCCTCTTTGCTCCCCCGTCTGACGATGTTATCAGGTGGGAATGTCATACCGTCATCTACTCATATACTTGCTCCCAAGTCAACCCCTAGGTTTAGTCCAGTCCCTTTCACATGAAAAGCTCACTATTCCCCAGGTGGAGTGGGGTGCCCGTGGGTGCCGCTCAAGTCCGTCCTCCAAGGCAATTGGCAGGTAGCGCTCCTGCCATCACTTCGAAGAAATATCTCTGCACCCGAGATGGTAGGAGATGACAAGCCCCAAAAGGAAAAAACAACTGCAAAACAACCAACTCCTCTGGCTGCAGCAAAACAGGTGGGAAATGCCGGAAACAGCCTGCCCCGAACCCTGTCAAACCTGCTTGAGGTCATCCGTCCTTCAAGTAGGGCATTCTTGGGAGCAAAAGCCATAAGCCCGTAAGCCATATGATGAGCTCTGAAAACCGAGTGATGCACCTGATTATATAGCTGTTTCTATTACTTTGGTCATGCTGATGAAGCCTCTATGCCCACGCCGTGCCCATGCCTGATTTCCACAGTCACTCCTGCAAAATGCCTTTTGGCAAGAACGCTCGCAGCTTCTGCTCCCATGCCAATACTCTCCGTGAGGGCGCATCAGAACCTATCCTTGCCGTCAGAATGGATGGGATAATGAACGGCGCAGGAGAATAGCCCAAGTTTGGTTGCGAAACCAAGTGCAATGCATGCTCTTAGTAATGACTAAACATAAATGTATACATTACACACAACTTCAAAAATTATAACATTCATCATATGTTATATATATATACACATATAGAGATACAGTATACACAAGTACCATGCTGGCGTTTGTCCAGCAATATCCCACCATGTGGCCTTGGGCATCGTGAATTGCAGGAGCAACGTTGTTGCCGGACTAGGTTTCTTTCCCTACACAGTGGAAGTGGAAGCAAACATGGAGATTCGAGGTCCAGTTGCCCTAAAGACTCATTCCCTGTGATCACACCAAACATACTTACCGTAGCTCCCGTGGTGGTCCAAGTGCTATGATGGCACTCAGAAAACCTCAAGAAAGGCTTGATTGGTGGATGACCCCAGGCATCTGAGTCAAGAGCCTTGCAAAGGCTAATAAGTGCAACCCAGTGGCAGCGGATTGAATGGCTTCTCTTCGAGATGATCCATTGCCATGCTCGCCAACATCATGGTTCTAAGACTTGTCTATCTGCGCTGGTGCTCAAGCAGTATTCGGAGTGGGATTCATCGTGAGCATTGAAGCGAGTGACCAAACATCCTCCTTCAGTTAGAAACAGCAGGAACCATCAAACTATCGACCGGGGACCTTTTAGCGGTGGCCATGTTGCAACTGTAATGCTCATCTCCTCAAAAGAGGTTACTTCTGAGAATCCTTGTCGTCACAAATCCCACCTGTGCTGCACGCATTCTTGGCCACACACACCACCTTTGAGCCCAGCAGCCGTTGGAATCTGAAGGCTGAAACAGCTTTCACGCCTTCACACATGGCCGTGGGTGAGAACCCCACCGGGATGAACTTGAACATGCAAGCCAACTTCAGCGGCGTTGGCATCTCGGCCCTCTTGCAACACATCAAAGGACGGCCGGAAGCTGCAAGAAGTGAGCAAAGAAAGTGAGATGTCAAGGGAGAATGGCTTATGGCCGCCACGGCTTCATCTTGCGTCATGTGCACATCAAGCTCCAGCTACTGCTCAAGTCCGACACAACGCCATAGCTTAGCCAAGTATGGTCTTAAACCCGTACTGTAAGTTAAAGACTTCAAGGGTAGATCTTTATCTTGATCCACAACCCTCCAAAACCCACCAAGTAGTTGGAAAAGCGCTGCAGGTGGAATGTCAATGTTAACATCGCGTAGGGTGCAAGGGCCCTTTCACCCTCACTTCACCAATGGAGAACATGGACGATTTACACCTGCAGGCCCTGCAGGCCTGTCAATTCGACCACATGCTTCGCCTCAGGACCACCTCAAAGCAAACAGGAAATTCAATCCTGCCCCATGGTCCACTTTGTTGAGCAAAAGGGAATCTCCTCAAAACGTGTGAGGCTCGAGCTCATTTACTGAAGTAGCCAGCATTAAAGGTGGGACAAAGGCATGGCTGGCCCGAACCAAACACGAAATTCACTCGAAAGGCATCTCCAGTCCATTTTGAGCTGCACGGGTCACGCCGGGACAGAACGACCCAACCTCAGTAGCTCAGTCGCCGTAATGTCAATGTACTATTTACAGTAATAGCAGCTCGTATGGTCCATGTTGAGGAATTTGATTGGCGTGAAAAGCATGCAATTTTTGTCATTTAGAATATAGTACAATATATATATATATATTATATTATAGAAGGCCGTGCGTGCCTCTAAATAGTTCAGGACTGGTAATACAGGTGATGCAGGAAGCACAGGAGAAAACCTGGACGATATGCAATGATAAGTGCCCTCCATGCCTTTTTTCAATGTTCTCCCAATTTTTGTTCCATACAGATTTGGATGATGGGGGCGGCAGTTTCAGATCACCTTGCCCTTTCTGATTGTCGGTCGATTTCCTTCTTACCAAGTCCTTTCGTCCTTGTCCTACATGTGCATCTTGCCAAACTTGTAATTATTTCAATTGTTCCACCATCCAATCCCTCACATCTCAGTCCACTGAGGATCCCAGCGCCTTTAGCACTGCCTTCTCATAAAGACCAAAGGCTAAAGCCTGGCCGCAAAAATAGAGGCCGGAGCACCTTTGTTTTGTGGATGTCTGGGGCATGGATGGTGATGGGAGAAAAACTGCATCTCCACCTAGGAAGCCTGACATTCTGATTCCCATTTAGCTAGAAGGCCCCCACTTGTGGCTGGACGATGGATCTACAAAAGCCATGCCTTGCCAGACTCTCCCAGCTGCGACATCCTGAGACTCATCGACGTGGAAGTAAAGAGGGATGCGGACGCGTTGTTGGACAGAATGAGCCAATCCACCAAGTCAGACAAAGCCCGACGCAACACTTCTTGGGCCTACTGGACCTTGGCCAATCTACTGGACCTTTGTTTGCCCAGCTTTACAGGCAGCCGTGCTTCTTGTGGGGTAATGGGGGCACCCTTTCCGCGCTTACCCCACAACTCCATGGGCCCCGGGCAGTGAATCCATCATTACTCCTCCATTCACCTCCATGATCAGCAGCCCCTCACAGGTGCGGAGATCAGGGACCAAGGGGATCGAGGAACCACTGGGGCCTAGGGCTGCAAAGCAGGGGGAGGAAAACCGTCCCATCTGCGCACAGCGCCCATCTGAAAATCCTACTCCAACTCCACCAGATTGTTCCAACCCAAACACCTTCCCAATGCTTTGACGCGTCATGTGTCGACGCGTCAACCCGAACACCTCGTCTTTCACATCGATGATGTCCACACTGCAGAAGCTCATCCCAATGGCCTTTACTGCTCGAACCGCCACCTGTCGGACAAACATAGGGAGACGACCAGCTAGTCAATCTACGGCTACTGTGGCAGGGAGGATGTCAAGCTCTGCCCCAAAGCGAGACTCGGCGAAGTAGTAGGAAGCGTGGAATAGTGCTGAACCTCTGGGTCCAAACTGGTACAAACAAAGACCACAGAGGTAACTTGGCTACAAACTGAAGGTCCTTGTGACTTCTGTCCCAGCAATGGACCCCCACTGGCTTTTGTGGATGTGGGCAAATGTGCAACTTGCAAACACGATCTTCGTGTTGCTCTTGGGAACAGTACAGGTCCGGCTTAGCGTGTTTAAGACCCACACCAGAATCAGGTACAGTCTTGCAATATCTTGCAATCCTCCAGTTTGGGGTAAAAATCAACTTTGCAACATTCCAAGGCCCATGGGGCCCATGGTCTTATGAGTGTTAGATCAATTTGGAATGTGGGCGCGTTCCTGCGTGTGCGTCTGATGTACCACGGTTCACATACAGAAGCGTCACGACATGTGACCAACAAACGAGAAGGTTCTTAGAGAGGCGAGGCAAAGCATCCGCAAGTTCGAGACCAGCCTCTGCCAGATTCTTGGCCATTTCAGCCTCCACCTGCATCACCGACGACTGGTCACAAGTGTCCGCTGGACGGAACTTCCAGTAGAAGATGTGAGAAGGACTGAAATGACCAGTTTCTGATAGATTCCTCTACCAACAGAGGGGTACAGGGGCTGGTCCACTTCCATGTTTGGAGGGAGGGTAGGGCCCCTTTTTGTGGCCGCTCTCGTGCCACCAGCGACTTGTGACACTCTTCGCCTTCAAATCGACAGAGGCACCATGCCCCAGGTTGTGCTTCCACCTGAAAACACTTCAGCGAACTCATCAAGTAGCAAGATGACGCTTGCCATGAAACTGCAGGGGTCTTATGTTTCTGGCTCGGGAAGCCCTTCGCCGCCCGATCTGGGCTTCCCGACTGCAGTGCTGCATCTTGCCCCTTCGCAGGGACCGATCCAAGCTCCTCTGGCCCTAAGCGAACCGCCCACGACCCAGATGCGACAAGTACATCTGTGCAACATGGCCGCCATCCATGGTCTGGTGTGTGTGTGTGTGTTGCATGCCTTAGACCTTTCTCATGGCTCCTGCCATGTTTTAGTCGTATTTGCATCCTGGGGCCTCCAGCGGAGCTCAGCAGCATCCGCCAGGAGGGCAGCCATTTCCTATGCTGCGCTTCTTTCAACATCTTTCAACCACCAGTCACTATAGGTGTTACTACTTGCGAACGTTTTATCCGGGTCAAATATATACGGGTGCACATTTAATTTGGGATTTTTCAGTTTTTTCGGGTATATTTTTCAAAAACATTGGAATAGAGCAGGTTTCTTATTAGTACCTAGCCAATTACAGCAATTTCGTGTCCTTAGCCGAGACACGGGTGTCGTAGCTGGCCAAATACATTGGAATAGTGCAGGTTTCATATTAATTGCTAGCTGATTAGACTAATTTGGGAGCTGTCGTGGCTGGCAAAATACATTGGAATAGTGTAGGTGTCAGAGAAAGTCCTACGTTAGCAGAGAAACAGTAAATCATATATGATTGGTTAGAAGTTTATGCCCCGGGGAGTTCACCTTAAAATATTGATTTCGTGGCAGGCGCGGGTGTCGGAGATGAAGTGCAGATTTCGTGGCGCGGGGGGGGGGGGGGGGGGCGCAGCGCCCCCCCAGCAGCACAGATCCAAAGGTTAGAAAATGTTAGAAAGCAAACAGATGGAAAAGCAAAAACAAAAAGAGAAAGGAGAACAGCTGCCAAAGCAGAAAAGCAAAAAAAGCAAAGAGCAGAAAGACAAAAACACAAAAAGCAGAAAAGCAGCAGAAGCAGAAAAGCAGCAAAAGCAGAAAAGCAACAAAAGCAGCAGAAGCAGAAAAGCAAAAGCAGAAAAGCAACAAAAGCAAAAAAGCAGCAAAGCAGAAACGCAGCAAAAGCAGAATCCGAAAAAAAATCCCCAACAACAAATGTTTAAAAAAAACGAAAAAAAAAAAGCCCCTCCAATAAATACAGCAGGGGAACCATCCTTCAACTTTTTGGATCCGATACTTTCGGTAGAGACGCTGACGCAAAAATAGGATACGAATGGATACGATTCTGGATGTTCATCTCTTTTGTCGCGTTGAAGGTGGTCTGAACATGGGCACAGGTGCCCCGCGGAGGATCTAAAGAAAAACAAAGGATGATCAAAACTAAACACAAAAGATCAAAAAAAACAAACAGTGATCAACAACGAAACAACATACTGCAATGTTGCAATAAAAACCAAGGACAAACGAGGATCCAAAAAATCAAGCAAAATCCAACAAGGCTCTAAAATAAATAGATAATAGATAATAGATACTAGTAGTAGTAGTAGTAGTAGTAGTGGTAGGAGTAGCAGTAGCAGTAGCAGTAGTAGTAGCAGGAGTAGTAGTAGTCGTCGTGGTTACTACTAGTGGTAGTGGTAATGGTAGTGGTAGTCGTCGTCGTAGTAGTAGTCGTCGTAGTCGTCATCGTGGTGGTGGTGGTGGCATAGTAGTAGCAATAGCAGTACAGTAGCAGTAGTAGTGGTGGTGGTAGTAGCAGTGGTAGTAGCAGTCGTAGCGGTAGTGGTAGTGGTGGTGGTTAGCAGTAGTAAGTAGTAGTAGGTGTAGTAGTGGGCGAAGTAGTAGTGGTAGTGAGGTAGTGGCAAAATTTGCCTAGCCACTCGCATCTATCTTTTTTTCTTTCTTTCATTATTTCTTTCTTGTTCCTCCTAAGTACCTTGTCTCTCCTAAGTATTGCTTTTTTGATGCCTCGTTGTTTTGTTCTTGATCCCTATTTGCTTTTTGAATCTTTTTGATGATTTTTGTTGATTCCTATTTGTCTTTTTCATCCCTCTCCCGGTGCTGCGGGTCTCCCGCAGCGTTCTTCACATCACTGACTGTAGGTGACAAGCTCAATATTAAAGACCAGGGCGACTATGTGATGGCACTGTTGTCAGGCTGTTATCATTCGTTTCACACGAAATAAGTTCCGACACGTGAAGGTTCACCATCAGGGAGACAAAACAAATAAAATTCTATCTTGATATGAACCAAGATGAACCAAGAGCCGCGGCCCCAACCACTGCTCGAAGAGCCCTTGAGAGTTGATGTACGGGTGGCCGCGCCTCTGGTTTGGCATTTTGAAGCCTTTCAGCCAGCAGTGCTCCCACGGACCTTTCTCCATCCTGAGATTTCGATGGATTTGGAAGAAAGAAGCAACTGCCAGTGCAACTGCCATTGTCTGATATTGTTGTCTTGGCCCCCTGGCACCCAGCACGGAGCTCCTCACCTGCAGTGGCGAACCAAGAGCAGAGGAAAAGGCACGAAAGAGTAGAGGCTACATGCTATCGCATGTTATGGACCAGCTGACACATCTTATGATGAAGACTCTTCGCTGCTGGATGCAACATACAAGTTGTTGGCTTATGTTAGCCCAGTTCAACATGAGGAGCTTTTCACCTGAAGAGCTCGATTGATCACCCACGCGATTGTTTTGCCGGCCAGAAAAAAGAAGGTTGGCACTCCCAGAATGCTGGCCTTTCGATACGTCAGCTGCACCTGGCGAGATCTTGCACCCAAACCATGCGAGAAAAGGCTTCCACTTACCGCTGGGCACCACATGTGACCAGAACGCTGGGCTGCGGAACTATGCTAAACGACGCCCCAGCGACTGGCCATAGAACTCGCTCAATCAGCCATAGCCACGGATGGCTTCGAAAAGTCAGCACTGTCAAATGGCCGGGAAACAACATCAAATGGCATTGGACATGAAGGCCCAGCTAGGCTAAGGAAACCGTTTTGCAACACGAAGCAGTCCGGACATGTCCGGACGCCACACATCGCAGTCCGCTCCACCGGTACACGCGGCCCGCCCGCCCGCGGGTAGCGGAAGTGCCCGCGCCTCGGTGCCAACACCTCGGATGGGAAGGAGAAGCCACGAAGTGAGGACAGGAACCTCATAGACTCATAGCCTGGAGTCGGTGATAACTGTTGACAAACCATTGACAAATCGATTCAAAGATGAACAGCACATTCGAGATCCACTACGATTTGGAAGCAACATCCACAGCACCTGGTGACCAGTAGAGGTCCACTGATCACATTTTTTGAGATATTTTTTGGCCCACTTAGGCGCAGAGTGCCTTGCTTGTTCCCGCTCAAATGTGAAAAGGAGCAACTCAAACCGCTTCATGCCCCGCGGGTTGATTCATAGGTATTCTACTAGGTATTCTTATCCGGGGAAAACCGCGCGAGTGTCGTCACTTGCCGAGCTGCAAATGCATCTGTATTCGTCCACCACATGCTTGTACGGACACACCGCTAAGCCATATTCCCTGGAAGCCAGGCAAGGCTCGGTTGAACAAATGATGAGGAGCTGCATGCATGAAGGAAAGGGCTCCACCAGTGAGTCTTTGATCTAACGGTAAGGCAGCCGTGAGGGGAGCTTCGTCCAATGCCCCAGCCTACCTCAGGGGGTCTCAAGTGCCGAACACGATTTGAATTGCTCCTTCCCTTGTGCATCTCCCCTCAGCTTGAGACTCCTTATGCAAATAGCCATGTATTTCCCTCACTCCCAACCAGCTACCTTCACTACCAGTATCTACTGGCAGTCTTCCTTCCCCAATGAGAGCAGCGCGCAGGGCGCATCAGCGCGCAGCGGCCAGCCTAGAGAAGATGTGCTGCACCGCCGCCTCGACTTCTCGCCAGCAGGTGGCCTGGGCGAAACCGCGAGGATGACAAAGACCCAAACATAGCCCACCAGGACCCACAAGGGATGGTTAATGGACACCCCTTGACCTCTAAGGGGCTATTTATAGACATCCCTTAGGGCCCTCATTGGTGTTTGAATCGCCTGAGCCAGATCTATTGAAATCATGGTCCATCATCTCTACCTGGTGATTTTGCATCTTCAGCCTGTTTGGGCCCCGCTACGTTATGGTTTCCGATGGTTTCCAATGACAAGGCCACAGGTTTGGATGCAAGAGTAGATGTGTGAAACTGCTGGAATCCTTGGATGAGGATCAGCTTGAATTCATTTGATAAGGACTCTAATACTGAGCGATTTCATCTTTTGTCCACGTGTGGCTTGAATCGAAAGCCGCTTGCCCACCTTCATCACATCCAAACCACCGGTACCTTGAAGCATCACCGTCCGAACGCTCAGAACGCTCCAAGTGAGAGTGTATATATATATAGCCTGAAAGAAAGCAATGACCTGGAAATATGTTGGTTCGTGTTTTTAGGGAGTTGGATATACTATATCCTCAACATCATGTCATGTTATGGTATGCTGTTCGCTACTGGCACATACTGAAACTACTGTTGAACGTTGCGTTTGGTACAGTACAGCTCCTGTTCGTTTTCGTTGCCAAAGCCAAGGTCCATGATTTGCTCCATGATCGCACGATCTCAGGCTGGGGCCCTTCAGCGGCTTGACCACCACAGGGAAACCGTACTTCTTCACCACCTCCTGAACCTGAGAGCTAACGGCTGTTTGGTTTAGAGTTGCAACGGCTGGGCGAGATGTCAATCCTGTGACTCCAACAAATCTTCAAAATCAGAGGTCTTACCTGAGCAGCTGTGGGTCTGACTTGAGTCCCTCAAACCTGAGGGGGAGAGGGAGAGAGCGAGAGAAACAAACCAAAAATATAGCCTCAAATAGCAAATGTCCAAGTACGACCCGATTTGTATCGATTTGTCTTGGAGCCCAGGGACTGGTTCCCAGATCCCATTCTTTGAAACATACTTCGCCGTGAAGGGATTCGAGGGGCTCAGGAAGACATGATGTGGCACCTGGGCGCGGAGACACAACCAACAAAGCTTGCAAGCACCGCGCAGCTACAAACATCAGCATCAAACACTCTGAAAATCACTTTGCCCTGCCCAAAGTCGTGCAAAACACTCAGAAACCTGGAAGCTGAACATGCATATGCAGAAAAAGAAACATAATTATGGTCCAATGCCCATTTGATGTCGAAAGCATCTCGCTCAGAATCCCTCCACCTGTAGATTTGATGAAAAAGACCGCATTGGAACAGCCATCAGGCCAGGGCACGTTAGCAACCTGAGCAGATCGGGCCCAGGTCGCGTTGCAAACATGCAACACCCGGCGCAACAAACACATCGGACATCGATCGTTACATCCAACCTGTTTCTTAATCTCACCGGCGTTAGCGACCGCGAACTTCCTTCGCGTGATTTTGTCACTTTGGTTGGGTCCTCATCCGATTCATGCTGCTGCTTCATGCCTACTGCTGTTTGTTGTGGGTGGTTCGGAGCGGGCCAAGGGTGATACGTGTTGTGAGTGCAAATCACACAATGTGCGGGTGGGTGGTTCTGTCCCTGCTCTGTACAGAAAAAAATCAGTGAATGATTCGAGGTGCTACACAGTGGTCCTATAGCTTCCGTTGCCAAAAGATTGTCTAGCAAGTCTAGTATGGTCAAGAGGAAAAGCTTCTCCTCATGGAGTCTTGAAGGAGGTTCCCTTGTCAACAGTATCATGTGTTAGATTGAGCATTGATTAGACTAAGGACATCCACTCTTTGATATGTTTGAAGTATGAACCTTGGCTCAACTCAATCACTCAGTGTTTCTACATTTTCTACGATGTATTTTTGATTGACATTGAACATGCAGGGCCACTGGGGAACAAAAACAACCACAAACCCTCTGTACCCCTCTGTAAAGTACAGTGTTTCGAGACTCCATTTCAATGGGTCCTCACAAACATGCTATACATTATATGTGTTCGTGACCAACCCACTTAAACACAAACCTTAATCTAAAAAAAAAGAAACACGGTCGCTAACACCGCTGTGACCTTAAGTTTATGTAAGCTCCTTATGCAACTCGATCCCGAGTTCCTATTGCTAAACGTATATACGCTTATATACAAAAAATGCATTTGTCCGGCCCCACAAAGTTGCAACTATGGATTGAAAATTGAAAGGAACTCGGCGTTTCAACACTCATCTGTTTGGGCTTTTTGCCTCTTAACTCCTTATATATATATATTATATTGATGTGATCGACATCTTACAAGCAAAGGGTCGGTACCAAAGTTGATCTTTAATAATGGGAAGGGGACTGTCCCTCTTAATCTTTGATACAAGGCCAAAAGTGTCCAAACGACAACTGTTCAGTTTCGAAACGGTTTCCAAGAGCCCGAGAACTCCGGCGAAGCATTGCCCATCATTGCCCAATCCACCCCTAATCCTAATGCTGGACGGTTTCCAATCGGAGAGAAAAACCAGTGCCGCCGCGGAACCCCACTGCCGTTGAGCACCAAGGAGGTTGCGGCCTTCTCTTTGCCTCGCTCGAGAAGGCGGCACCAAGGAAGCCCAGCACTTGCACTTGCACGTGTTGGCCCAAATTCCTGTCAACTATACTATATTGTTATACTATATAATATATAATGTAGATCCTGTCACATACAGTATCCTTCTAATTCTAATGTTTTTAAACCACTTTTGGCCTAAAAGGACGAGCTCAATCTTGTCACTTGAAACCCCCAAAAACAGGATATCTTGGTCGGTTCTATCATGCACCGGTGCTTTCCCAGCGTTTTCCATAAAGAACACCACATATATCCACATATGCTTTCCCAAGTTGCATATCTCCACGGCTGCAGCCTCAGACCATTTCAGACCCCAAGACTGCAGCTGGCACCAAACCAGTCTGGGCCTTTCAGATTCATATTTTTCCAATATGATTCAATGACCTACAGTTGAAACCAATTGAAATGATGGTGGGTTGATGGCACCTAAGATGACTCCCTTCAAGGAAATATTCTGATCTACGCCACGGCAGACGTGAAAAACCCAGTGTCCGCAAGGTTTGGGCTTCCTCAGTGGACATCTGCACCCACTACCCTAGAATCATTTCAAGATCAAACCCTCACCCCCCCTAGTAGAGCTCTCTAGCCTCCAGTAAAGATAGTAAAGGAAAATCAACACGGACCATCTTCCAGCTGGGAAGCAGGGTTGGAATCAAAGGTGTAGCCAAAGACGGAGCATTGCTGTCCTGTTGCCTCACCAACTCAACCGCTTGGTCCACAACGCAAGCAATCGGTTCATATAGACACCATGCAAGCACTAGGACTAAAACGAAGCAATCGGTTCACATACTTACTTAAGGACCTTATGAGGACCCAAAGGAGGTTGGAAGCAAGTCCTAAGATGGTCGCAATTCTGGCTGGGCTATCAGTTCAACGAAGCAGTTTTAACATGTTTTAAAGATACAACGGAGTACCTACGACTTTACGAGACAAATCGCCCCCGAACATCCCCGAACACGGTCGCTGGCGGTCGCTCGTGGTCGTAAGATCCGATTTACGAGGCTTGGGCAACCCGGCGGTGGGAACACACCACTTGAAATTGTGTAAAAACCCGTCGACCTTTCCCTATAATACTTTTGACATCTTTTGACCTTATCATTCTTTTTCCCGAATGCGCAGCGAAGGGTTCTCGTTTAACTCTTGGGGGTCTGGGGGTAGAGCCTTGTTCGCGACCCGTTGCTTCTATGTTCGCAACCGTCCGCAACCGTCCACAACCGTCCGCAGCAGAGCGCTAAGGCGCTGCCATTGGGGGAAGCTTTTGCAGGTGACTTTTCATGGACGTGTCACGTGTCAGTTTGCGCCGCTATTCCATTGTGATTTGCATGAAAATGACATGCCGCGCAAGAAACCAAATGCGTTTCGCTGCACAGGCGCAGCGTTTTGTGAGATCTGCAGATTGCTGCGCAGTTCCATTGGGATTAGCGTTTGGAGAGTCGTTTTTTTGGGGTGTTGGATGTGGCTGTGCCATTGGGATTTGCACCCTGGCACGGCGTGACGGAACAGCCTCCTGCCGTCCCTCTGCCCGCACCAAGCGTCACTCCTGACCCGAATGAAAAACAAGGTTCCACTGTTCCAGGCACAGAAACCAAGCCACAAGACACCCATCGACTCCTGAACCGAATGAAAAAATCAAGGTTCTGGCAGGCAATTTGACTGTTCCAAGGCACAGAAAGCAAGCCAGAAGACCCCCTTCGAACGTGTGCTCAGAACGGGTCGAAATCATTCCAAACGTGTGGTGTGGTGCAAATTTTGTTGAAGCTCACATGAGACGATAATTATTGTCACTTTTCGTGGCAGGCGCAGTACATTTGTGCGGCTTTTGAGGTGTGGAAGTGCGATTCTCGTGAGGTTGCGAGGTGTGACGGAGGTGACATTTCGTGGCAGGCGCAGTACTTTGTGTGCGTTAAACGTGTGGAGGCGGAAAGATTCGTGGCAGGCGCAGGGAATCGGGAGGTTGTGGTAGAGGTGAATGTCGCTGTCACATTGGGATTGGCGTGTGAGCGGGTGTCGTTTGGAGGGGCTGGAATCGCGAAACTGCTTGGCAGGGCTGCGTGATGTATGTGCTCCGATGGGTGTTTCCGCTGGACTTTTGGAGGAAGTCTCGTGCGAAACGTTCGTTTTGCAGACTTTGACATGTGAGAAGAAGTCTCGTACAAAACGCTCGTTTTGGGGACTTGACATGTGACTTTTGGAGGAAGTCTCGTTTTGGAGACTTGACGTGTGACTTTTGGAGGAAGTCTCGTACGAAACGCTCGTTTTTGAGACTTGACGCGTGACTTTTGGATGAAGTCTGGTACGAAAAGCTCGTCTTGCAGCCTCGCAGCGTGACTTTTGGAGGAAGTCTCGTACGAAGAGTGTGCCCTACAGGAGTGTCCCACAAGAGTGTTCTACAAGAGTGTCCCACAAGAGTGTCCTACAAGAGTATCCCACAAGAGTTTCCTACAAGAGTGTCCCACAAGAGCGTCCCACAAGAGTGTCCCACAAGAGTCTCCTACAAGAGTGTCCCACAAGAGTGTACCACAAGAGTGTCCCGTATGAGTGCCCCACAAGAGTGTCCCACAAGAGTGTCCCGCATGTCCCACAAAAGTGTCCTACAAGAGTGTCCCACAAGAGTGTCCCGTATGAGTGTCCCACAAGAGTGTCCCACAAGTGTGTCCCACAAGAGTGTCCGACAAGAGTGTCCCATAAGAGTGGCCCACAAGAGTGTCCCACAAGAGTGTGCAACAAGAGTGTCCCGTTAGAGTGTCCCACAAGAGTGTCCTACAAGAGTGTCCCACAAGAGTGTCCTACAAGAGTGTCCCGTAAGAGTGTCCCACAAGAGTGTCCCACAAGAGTGTCCCGCAACCGTGTCCCACAAGAGTTAAGAGTGTCCCACAAGAGTGTCCTATAAGAGTGTCCCACAAGAGTGTCCCACAAGAGTGCCCTACAAGAGTGTCCCACAAGAGTGTCCTACAAGAGTGTCCCACAAGAGTGTCCTACAAGAGTATCCCACAAGAGCTTCCTACAAGAGTGTCCTATAAGAGTGTCTCACAAGAGTGTCCCTTAAGAGTGTTCCACAAGAGTGTCCCGCAACAGTGTCCCATAAGAGTGTCCTACAAGAGTGTCCCACAAGAGTGTCCTACAAGAGTGTCCCACAAGAGTGTCCCACAAGAGTATCCCATAAGAGTGTTCTACAGGAGTGTCCCACAAGAGTGTCCCACAAGAGTTTCCTACAAGAGTGTCCCACAAGAGTGTCCCACAAGAGTGTCCCGCATGTCCCACAAGAGTGTCCTACAAGAGTGTCCCGTATGAGTGTCCCACAAGAGTGTCCCACAAGAGTGTCCTGCAAGAGTGTCCCACAAGAGTGTCCCAAATGAGTTAGCCACAGGAGTGTCCCACAAGAGTGTCCCGCAACAGTGTCCGGCAAGAGTGTCTCACAAGAGTGTCCCTTAAGAGTGTCCCACAAGAGTGTCCCGCAACCGTGTCCCACAAGAGCTTCCTACAAGAGTGTCCTACAAGAGCTTCCTACAAGAGTGTCCCACAAGAGTGCCCCACAAGAGTGTCCCACAAGAGTGTCCTACAGGAGTATCCCACAAGAGTGTCCTACAAGAGTGTCCCACCAGAGTTTCCTACTAGAGTGTCCCACAAGAGTGTCCCACAAGAGTGTCCCGTAAGAGTGTCCCACAAGAGTTTCCTACAAGAGTGACCCACAAGAGTGTCCCACAAGAGTGTCCTACAAGAGCGTCATTTGGACATATGTAGCTTTTCGAACGTTTTTGCATTCGGGTTCGTGGGCTCCATCTTGTTTATTCCTTATCGTTTTGCAGCACTTTGACCAACTGCAACAAATGTATTATTATTTAGGTACAGTATATTGTAGTGTGTGCACTACATTCATGTCATTAGTGCAAACCTTGCAGATATGAAAACATTAGGCACACTTCATTTCAACTACACCCATGTGGTGGCCTGCCTATGGAAAGGTGTTTTAGGCTCGCCGTGTTATCGTTTTGGTATCGTTTTCATGACTGGTGCAAGTTGGAAAACCATGTGGCACGAGGCTACAGCCGTCCAAGCCCTTTCCCACCTCTGTCCAAGATTGTCCAAGCATATACCACTTCTCGCATGTCAAGGGTTTTCCGCAAGAGTCATCGGGGGTTGTCGTTTTTTTGCTTCCTTATCGTTTTACAGGGGATTGAGCATGCTTCCAGAAAAACGGACATGCGAATACTAATTTCTTACATGGGGGGGGGTTTTATACTCTCTCACTTGCCAAGCCAAACGCACGGAAGGGTGATCTGGATCAACATAAAGTATATAGTAAAATATCTGTAATGGAGTTGAAACGATTTTACAGCAATGGGATCCTAAACTCTTGAGTCTGCGCATTCGCTTCAGACCCCATCTGCTAGGCGAATCGCGCGAAACTCCCACCTTGTCCCGAAGCTGCAGGATCCAGTCGTGGGAAAAGCTGGAGAAGTCCAGGCCATGCTTCTCAGCCACCTGTTTATCGAGGCACACATGAGCCGATGGAAAGCTGAGACAGGCGACCTATTTGACAGTTTTGAACGGTTCTTTCTTGTTCAAGATTTCCCGAAGAAGCTCGGGCTTCGCAAGAAGGTTCATTGAAGGGCGGTCGCCGAGGACGTTTGCCAAAGGTTTGGTGTTCGAAGGATACCACCAGGAAGAGAGTATATACATGTATATACTTAGTTAAAACTGAGGGAGACAAGCTTTGTATTAATCAATATGTATATATATTATTTCCTATTCGAGCGGGCTGCAATAGCAGCGGGGCGCTTGTCATGTCCAGCGCCTCTCTCAAGGTTTGGACGAAGTTCTTACGCGCGTCGGGAGGAGCCATGGCAACGAGGATGGTGAGGACGGTGCGTTGAAGTTGGTAGGCTGACCTTACGACCCTTTAGACACTGACATAGGGGGCCTGGTTAGTATACAGCAATATATGCATATATAGAATGTATATATTATATATAAATATATTTCAAGTGACTACTTCACTACAACAGCTTAAGGCTTTGCGGCATTGTGGTCTGGCACCTCGATGATTCAGGAGCTCTCATCTCTGGCCACTCGAGCCCTTTGCTCAATGAAAAGGCTGCAAGGCGCCCACGACCTGCGCCACTGATTTCTAGGTCTGGGCTTTTGGGCTTTGGCAGGCGGCCTTCACTGCGGCCCTCTCCTCTTTTGCTTTTCAAATCGATCCAAATCGGCAAACCAGCGCTGCACCAGGCGTCTGTGGCCCAGCTTCCGGATCTTCAAATCCTCAAAGAGACGAGGATCCAACCGGGTCGGACGGATCTCAGCGCGATCTCGATCGCTTTCCAAGTACCGTTCGGCCACGTCTCGTACGGTGCGATGGCCTTGGGCCATCATCAGCGGTAGATATCTCAATAGAAAACCCTTGGGATCCAATAACTGAAGCCAGTCATTGAGTTCCAATGCTGGCATCCGTTCCATCAGCTTCTCTCGCGTGCCCTCCAGTTGAAACACCCCTGGATGGAAGGCCACCGGTGTCACCATCGGTGGAGTCGCCGGCAGGGCGGGGCGCACGGCCAAGGTCCAGCCATCGAGGTCAGAGAGATGCTTGGTGGCAGCCGTCTGCGCAGCCTCTACGGTGCGGAAGAGCAACCTGCCGCAGCCCTTGGGCTCTCCATTCTTCTTATAAAAGACTTGGCAACTCACAATCTCACCACAGTCCTTGGAACGATGTCAACACGTGTTCACGACGTATGTCACACTAAGTCAAGGTGTATGCTACAGAATGCTCCAGACAAAGTGACCGCAGAGTGGGCAGTTGAGAAAATGCGAGTTAAAGAATATGTTGTAGTTCTGCTGCTCCACAATTCTACTCAGACTCTATCTTCCAACGCCGCAGTTTTCCAACGCCGCAGTTTGCATCTACAAATACCTTAGTAGTGGCTAACATGTAGCAACCATGAAATTGAATCACTGATTCCTTGCCATGAGACCTCGAAATGGCGCCGCAAGTGCTCCTTCGGACCGGACACGGGTTTTGTTCGCTCACACGCTCACTGAAATGAGAACAGCACCGGGCTTTTGGGCCTTTGGGACCAAACCATCCATCGAAGGGCCGTCCTCCTTGGTGTGCCAACTCAGGCTCTCCACGAAGACCTCCCGCTCCGTAGGCCGCTCCTTCCCTGGTCTGAAGCGTCGCACCTGCAGCACCCGTCCGCCGAGCTCCAGGACCTCCCGTAGGGCGTGGGCAGCGCTGCTGGGCGACCGGAAGCGCACCTGGCCGCAGCCTCTGGAACGGCCAGAAGGATCCCGGAAAAGACGCGCGGAATGGATTGGCCCACCTGGGCCGAGACGTTGACGTTGTGAGGCTCAGCTTTGGGTTCCTATCTTGGAGGCATGTCTTTTTTGCAATCGAACCTGTTCTACTATGTTCTACTACTGTTAGAACGGCAGGGCAAGATCCACATGTGCCCCCCCCCACAATTGGTATGGACATGCAAAAGGAGGAGTTGTACGGCCCTGGGCCCTGTCATTCTATCTGGTGTTCAAGGTAGTGTCCTATAATTACTCACCAACCTCTCAAAGCAGCTGGGCGTGAGCGTGTACCTTTCCTATGTATATATAGATATAACAAAAATTAACAAAACATGCAATGGTCTTCACCCATGCACTGTTGGTGGGTCTGCGGGCAGTCCTTACAACTGCCAACCCCCAAAAAAGTTCAGATCTTCACAAATTCAATGCTCAAGGTTCGGAACATGTGGGCACACCACACGCGAAAAGAGTCATTCTCACGCTGGGCAGTTCAAGTAGCTGCCTTGTCCCTTTGCGCGAATGTGATGCCAACACCAACAGCACGACTGGGCAACAGTGCTTCTCAACATGTTGGTGCCAAATTGTTAAGAGTTGCATGTGACATGTGGAAGGAAACGACTCACGGCTGGGCGTGCGGATGCCTGCCGACCTCTAAGGCTCTAGTCTTAGACCACCGATTGCCAGAGCATGCCAGAGCCAAAGGGATCCAGGTAGATAGACAGAGAAAGGAGTTTCGGCAGAAACAAGCTTACAGTGGTTTTCAGGGCAGATGGCACCAAATGTCCAAGTTCGGTGGTTTAAAAGGACCCCCATCTCAAAGACATCTTGGGGGTTGTGCCATCTACTCTCTCAAACCACAGTAATGGCTTTGACGGGGAGACTCTCGCAAAACCCCGGTGCATCCCGCTCAGAACCCTGGTGTTGCCCAACCTGACGCCTGAATTGTGCCTGAGACAAGCTGTAAAGGTCACAGTGCGGTCAAATTCAGAGTGGCTTGAGGCCCACAGGCACTTGAACAGAAGGCTATTGCATTGAATCGGGGGCCTACTTGGAGCATCAGCATCCACATCCACCCTTTTCAGGAACCTCTAAACTTTAGTCTTCAAACATGACCGTCTGCCCCATAAAATCCCTGCCACTTGCCTGTCACCCCCCGCCATGTCTCTTCACGGCACGGCACACCGTTCGAAGAAGTCCCGCAAGGCCTCCTCGGTGGTGCGATAGCTCAAACCACCCACGAAAATCACCGGCTCGGCCTGGTGATCTTTGGCCAACTCGGTTCCGCCAGAACCGCGCGCGAGGTGCTGGCGGATCTGCTCTTCAGTGAACTCACCTGCCAGGGAGGTAAGTGGAGCTACCGGGCTTTTCCGCAGCACCGAATCCTTTTGAAGACTCCCGACTCTACACAGGCCCGCCAATTGCCACCAAGTCACCCTCAAAGAAAGTAAGGAGCTCATCGATGGTGTATGCAGTGCTCATCTTCCGTCGCTAGCGCACATGCAGCTCTAGCCATTTCCAGCTGTGGTCCGATGGTATCATGCATCTTGGAAAATGGGCACTTATTGAGCTTTGGCAACCGCCCTAAAACAGCTGAGGTATGCTGAATCTTGCTGAAGTAGTCAAAATATATCAAAGTAATTATTATGTGTTAAGGTGCTAAGATTGAAATGTCACGTGCCATCATGGCACAACCTTCTTCTCAACCTGCACCAACGGTTTAGCTATATATATATATATATTATATTAGAGATGCCCTCGGAAGTGATGTTGTCTGCTGTTGGATTCGGTTCTAAGTTCTTTGAAGATGGCCGTGGGTCGTTGTCGGTTTTCACGGTTTTCGGTTCTCTCGTGTCGAATGTGAATCAAATCAAGCGACGAACCTCAGCGGAGCCAAAAGGCCGTGGGTCGTTCCTGCGCTGTGCCGAGCTGCGAGCTGCGCCCCAGTGCAAACGATCCCATGGAGCAGAATTGACCCCGAGGGTCACGGATTCTTCCATGTTCCGAATACCAACCCAGTGAGTTTCGGGGTTCCAGGCTAGGCTAATCTGCAAATCACTGACTGGTTATTGCAGTGCTGATCACCGACGGGCACGCACAGGTATCCATCTTTTTGGAAGGCACGAGCAGGTCCTGGTGCGGCCTTTGGCAGCATGGAAAAACCTGCCGATTTCTAAACGGTGAAATCAAGAGACCTTGAGGTCTCGGACTGTGATGGCTTGAGGCTTTCATCCTACTTCCATGAGGTAGTCAGATATACAAACTCATGGTCTTAAGTGTCCATGACACCTGATCGAAAGCAACGCGTCCCTAATGGTGGGGGATCTTCCCGCATTGACACCCTTTCAAACTGCCCCGAAACCATCATTTGGTCACAGGGTCAGCTGAATGAAAAGACGTTTTCGTTCACTGCCGCCAGCCCGTGACCGCTAAGCACTGACCGCATCCGCAGCAAACGTCACTGCTCGAAGCGAACGCCTCAGCGTTAACAAGGGATCTTTGTATTTCGGGGTTCATCTGCGATTTCTATGCTAAAAGTAATGTAAAATGTTGATTGATAAAACCCCCTTATTTAGATTGTAAAGCCTCCTCATGAGGGAGGTTGAAATATAAACATTAATCAACGGTCTATATACATTAGGTGATCGAGGGGTCGTGGCAGCTGTCAGCTCTTTTGATCAGTCACCTGTCTCCAACCATCGAGTTTTATGACTTCCTCGTGTGCATCATGACGTGGCCCATTGGACAATCATTTTTGTTGGGTGGGTGGGCCAATAAGGACATTCAATTGGATTCAGTGAAGAATGGACCTGATATAGACGTTCAATTTTTTTCAATTTTTCTCAACCTGACTTCAATGTTGACCCACAACCTAGTAACTGTGGATGTGCGGGCCATGTCACCCAAGTGAAAGCCTCTGAGTTCACATCGCCAGGTGAACCCTGGCTATTCATCCCAAAAGGTGTTTAATCCATTTAATCCACCGCTTGTTTGCCCCTGCTCGTAGTGGATGGTCAACACGAGTCGACCCCGTCGTTGGTGCCCAGCGCTGCTCTCTGAGGCCCATCAGCTGGCGCCGCTGCGGGGCGACACGGGCATGACTCGACCCTGCTGGCGCCGAGTAAGGACCAGTGAGCGGCACAAAAGCGGGGAGGAACCCGTCCAAATCCATGGAAGTGGATGAACTCCACCTGTTTTTTTCTCCAGGATTTCATGATCATCCAAGGAGCCATGCCATCCACTTCCATGATTGCTCCAGGGAGTGTAGTTGTATGTAGTTGTACATCATTTGTCGGGGCTCACCCTCTTACAGATCAGAATGCCCGTGCTGCAACCGTCTCAGAGTCTCAACGCTAGAAATGTGCGGTCCACCCAGCTGGTGCTGATGTTGCATTGATGATGGCATTAAGGAATTCCAAACATAAGGAGACCCCTGGGACTATCAGGGGCTATCAAAGACCAGGGTGGTTCCAGGCTCCCAACTTGGTAGCCGCCATCACCCTTTAAGTTTGGGCAACGCATTGCATAATTATATCATCTGCTGGTGTCAGCACCGCCGCCCCAAGCACCTCGCTGGTCAAGAGTGATGGGCAAGCTCCGCAGGGCCTGGAGCTTGCGCGACTTCTGTGAACTGCCCCACACAGGAGAGTGCAGGATGCTGTATGATGGTCCTGATCATCCGATTGCGGTTGACTACGCTAGCTATTAATACCTGCCGTACTACCAACTTGTGAACGTCACTGCATCCCTTCATTGCTGTCAAACATCCCAGCACTCAGCACCACACACGAGCGACCGCATATCAGCCAAGCTGGCACCTGCCCGACGAGGCAACACTGAAAGTCCGGCCTTGAACACACATTCAACACTTTATCCCCCTCTGGACATCATGCTTGCAACTAACCTGGGCCTATGAATGAGCTGGTGACCTGGCGACCTGTATTAATAACAACCCCCCTCCCAGATGAAGAGGTTCTACAAACCAAATGTTACTTGTTTTCTTCAATCAAGAGTCTACACTCTTAAGCATTTGACTCGCCCTTCTCCTGGCCACCAACTTCAACCTCCCTCACTCCAGTGGACCCTCTCCCATCCCAGGCATCGCCTGGCGCATCCTTCGGCGCGCGGCTGAACCTCGGAGGCTGAACCAGCGCTGCTGACGCGGTGGCGGATCTTCACGGATGTGGCTTCAGGAATCCCCTCTTTTTGGTGGTCAATCGGGCCTCTTAAAAAGAGACGGGCGGGTGTTGAAACTGCCAACAAATATTAGATCATATAATCATATATATATATATATTAGTCTTGCTAACAAGTAATTCGAATGATTCTAATTAGCTGGGGCAGGGCCCTACTGGCATGGATCAAGATTGATAAATGTGCTTATTCGAGCCACTACGAAATGATTCGATGATGAACTGACAATGTTGGGGCGTGAGGATCTGGGGAGCAAGACACCGCTAGAAGTACTGTTAGGTTCAATGGATGTTAATTCACCAATGGCAACCCATTCTTGAAGTCCTTCCTGACAATTTGCCGAGGTGCAGTCCGAATTTTGGCACTGACTGGAAGCCCAAAACGTGGCAAAAGAAATCCTAGGATGAGCAATATGTTCAACATTCACGGACAAAACACACGAGATGCCGCTCGAAAGCTAAGAGAAAAATATACACGTGGTCCACGAGATTTGTGTCATCCCGGATGCGCGGGATCTAATTGAACGCAATCATTGAATCATGCTCGTTTGGCGTCGTCGCTACTATTTTTAGATGTTGTAGATCAACAGTGTCAACATGAACTAGTCAAAGAATCAAGGGCTCTAGACAAACAGGCTGAGCTTGAACTCCCTTAAGATGCCATCAAGAGTCTGTGAAGGTGTGGCAGTTCCTGCAGTCGGAAGAACTCGAACCAATACAAACCAAATTGTAGCCCATGGCCATGGTGACACGCCCATCTTGATTCTGGAGTTGGAGGCGATCTTTCTTGCACGCTTCAACACATGCCAACACACATCCAGAGACAGCCCCATCCCCCTGTTGTCTTCCTGGAAATCGGATTGTATGTCCATGCAGGCCACTTCATTCTAATCAGCCTCAGCTGAAAAACTGAGCAGCTTCTAAAAGCAAGCATGTTAAATTGTTCAAACCACATGTGGTATTGCTTAGGGTATATACTTGGAAACACTCTTGTTCAGAGTTTCATAAATCCAAACATGCAATGCTTCGCAAAGAAAACAAAGGAAGACGCTGCACAAGCTATATATATATATACATGTGCAACATTATGCAACGAGGTATGTGAGCGATGTCCGTGGCCTTTTTCATAGTCACGTTAAAGTGCCAAGTGGAAAAAGTGCATGAAGCCTCAAAATCATCACCGCCACGGTCCACTCGGCAAAGCGCCCAGTAAAACGTGACATGACTGCAGCTGCCAATGCAGTCGTTTGACACTCACACACGGATCACAACAAATGATATGCCGCCAATGATCGATCAGGATGCTTAACGGTGGTGAAAAACCTCGGGAAGCAGTCGACCCAACACAGAAGAAAGGAACAGACATCACGCATACTTCATACGCCCTGGTCGCGATGTTTGCCACTCCTGCGGCCTCTTTTTCTGGAGCCAGGTCGCGGCATGATTTCTTCAAAGCCATCAGGAGTGATCTTTGTGGAGCCCAAAGCCACCTGCAGGGACCGGCGGCAAATCAATGCCAGATGAAGTCTGCAGGAGAAGGAGGAAGATCGTCAGACGAATGATGATCAGTCCCCAGTCCCCAGGGTTCCTGCCAATTTGTCTGACAAGGCTGCCAAACAAAGTCGCGATCAGTGTGACAGTTTGGTACTTGAACTGAGCACAATGAACAGTGTGACGCTTGCACCGAACAAAGAGTCCAACAAACAGACTGATCAGTGATGTACAATGGTTGATTTGAAGGAATCCTAGGGGGCTCCTTTGCCGTGCTAGCTCGACAAAACCTCAGTTGAGAAGCCAACGAGATGCATCCTTAGGCGAGATAACTTGGGAGGAACATTCCTACTACAGTAATGCAATGAATAGGTGATGAGGGTGACAATCCTTTTCGGAGCCCTCCATGTTGAAACGCTTCACCAGCAGTTCACATTGTGAAGTGTGGCCCTCTGGTATGGAATAAGAACTCGCCATGCTTCAACAAAATCAGGGCTTAATCTTCAGCACTCAGGGTTGCACGACATCCGAGCATCCAAGAATCCAGTGTCTTGACTTGAAGCGTTGATGTCAGCGCTGCTCACATTAGATTGAATGTAACCTATATTATATATCTACTAATATACAGTACTACAAAGAACTGTGCCCCCCAGAGCGCGAAGCATTCTTGTAGTCATCGTAATCTTTTGAGTCCTCGAATTCCTTCACTGTGATCAATCAAGCTCACTGCTTTTGCCCATCCACAGAAGCGCCTAGACCGCTCGCTGCGCTTTTTGTTTGTTGCCCAGTCGCACTGGTGCGGTAGCGGTGCACGGGGTGCTGCTTGGGCGTAGCGCAGTTCACTCCATGGAAGAGGCCCTCCAGGGAGGCGCCGAAGAACCACTCGTTGCCAAAGACCTCTACGCCTGAAGGCGACTCCGTGCGCATCACTCCAGTGTGGAGCAGTGGCAGGATGAATCAGGAGAAGAGTTTCAAGAAGACTTCCCCCCAAAAAAACATAGCCTAAAGATATCCTAGACCTAGAGTCCTAGAAATCCTAGAGTGAAGAGCTGCAAAGACGTGCCAAAACACCACAAAAACGCTTGTGATCTGCATTGGGTGAGCATTGATCCAAGGAAGATTCCTCTTAGTCTTGGCCCAGCAGCGGCCTGTGTGAAATAGGCCAAAGCGCGTACTGACACTGTTCACGGTGCCTTAATGGGGCCGCGCACATCTCCCGGTCCCTCAAGGAGCCGGGCCTTCACAGTCCCAAGCCAGTCTAGTCTGGCGTCACCACTTGTCCCAACGCTGCCACGCATGCTTAACGCATCGCCAAGTTGCGAGCCATGCAGGACAAAATCCCCTTGCCATGCCCAAACCTCAGGGTGCAAATTGCCACAGCTGCCCATGCAAGCATTGACAAGTTCTGCAAAGCTCGGCCCGTAGATGCAGCCCTAGTGGCAGGTCGTAGGCATGCACAATGACCGTGGGATCGGAGTTTTGGCAGAAGATCCGCTGGTTCGGAGGAGGGAGAAGTCGTTCCAATGTCATGGAGAGGACCTCAACACACCGATGTTCCAATGATTTCCAGCATCCGCCCTGCCGATGCCCAGGTCAAGAATTCGGAATTCATTCGGCACACCAGGAAGAATGAAGTTCAGATGGTGTTCCCTTCTGTGCACAGGAGCGAAGAAGAACCCCCCCCAAAGCTCTAACATCTATGCAAGGCGATGACTATATAGTTACCAGTTGGTGTTAATTGATGAGCTTACGACGTAGAAATGTTTGTCCACTATGACAGTTATCGTACAACCTCTACCTTGCACATCACTATATAAGGGTTTTATGAAGGACAATGGCCGGCGGTGGTCCATGAAAAGCAGCTGATTTAATTAAAAGCTACCAAGCCTTTGTGCAAGTATGGTGGGTGGAGGCAGACCTATTGCCAAAGCGGTGCAGGACTCAAATGTAACCAGCAGTATTTCCTGCTCTTGCCACCGCAACGCTCATGTGGCTCGTCTCATGGCAGTGGCGTTATGTCCTCCACCTTCTGCATCTAAGCTGCATCAGAGTTCATGCATTGCCTCGGGCTCGATCATGGAAAATCAGGGCGTCTGCAGTGCTGTGAACTATTTTAAGAACACAAACGCCAATTATATATATACATGTCCCGGCGACTAACGGTGTAATAATTGTTGCAATGTTAGACATGTTACATCTATTATAGATCGATTGGTCAAACTCTTCCGCAAATCTGTCTTCCGTTGCTACACCCCGCAGGTTTTTGGTGCACCCTGACCAAACCCAAAAAGGGCGCCCTGAGAAGTTCCTCATCCAGCGTCCATGTTTAGCCTTTCTTGGTTGACAACATCCAAAGGCTCACACCTCGTGTGCTCATTGACCATCATTGAACCATCTATGAATCCATTTCCAAGCGGCTCCTCCAGCCTCTCTCTGTTCCCACGCACGCCATTGACTTCCTGAACCGGGCGCTCCCGACAAGAAGATCTGGGTACAGCCCAATCTTATGTAGGTCTTAAGCCAGTCAAAGCGTGCCTTCGTCTAAGAGTTGCCCCCCCCAAAAAAAAAGGAACCGCTTGTCCGGCTGGAAACGATAGAACGCGGTTTGTTTACCACACCGCTCCATGTCTCATCATATGACGAAACGATCTCCCTCACCCTCTTGCCCCCGAAGCGATGAAACGATCTCCCTCGTCGCAGGGATGCCAAGAATCGATGATGCAATCATCTGGCATGGCCTGAAGGACATGTGGCTGCTCTGGCATCTTTTGCAGGGTATGTCTGGGAGGGTGAACATGCAGGATATTTTGCCAAACACCACCATCCGAAAAGTCCCAAATCCTGTAGCAACATAACTAGTAGGCAAGTGACCCTCTGCGGATTCCGGAAGGAGGGCCTTGGCCCGAGCTGTAAATGAGAGCCAAGCTGCCCACTGATCCGAGCTCAGCTCCATCATCGAATCCTTATTGTTGCAGGGGGATGGTTCCCGGTCCGGCGCACGGCACTGCCTCCCTTCTGAAGAAAATACTTGTCGATAAATGATGATACATGATCTGAGCAGGCTTCATCCAAAGCAAAGCTATACTCGTGCGACTGGCCAGCTGCCTGCAACCAACGGCGCCGACGGGTACTGACCCTCTTTGTCGGACAGCATGCCCCAACCCAAATTCCATGTTCCACCCACCCCTTCCACCAACCCAATGCGGTGAGCTCACACGGGGCACGCGTCTTTTTTGCGAATGGCCCTGGCCCAAAATGGCCTTCTTAAGTCTTTGAGAATGGGGACTCATCATTTGGTACTCTGCATGGAGCCGAGGCCCCACTGCACTTGAAGCCAGGCAGCATAGAAGACGCCTGGGTCGATATTGCTGATGACCAGGGCCAGTCCATCAGTATCATCATATCGAAGCCCCAGCTGCTTGCCCTTCTTGCAAATATTGACCTGAAGTGATGGAAGTCACAGGACTGCCAACTCAAGATCCAGGACTGTGTAAGATGTAGCTGAATCAAATCCACTACCCAAATCAGCGGCTCAGGGTGGGGATGTTGGAGTATGTCACGAGTCAGGTCAAGCGGACTTGGACCCCCCAAACCATGCCCACATGGCCCGCATGGCCTCCAGCCGCACTGTGCGGCCCAGGCACCTGAAACCGTCGGCTCTGGCGCTTCGAACCCCAGGCACCAGCTGATTCAGGTGGGCTTTGCTCCAGCTCATCGCCTTGGTCGAAGGCTTTGGAGTCCATACATCCGGGTGACCAGTGGGGGATGCTTCGAACGCCGGTCACGAACAGTTCGGGTTTGGAACCAAACACGGTCATTCTGGATCCTTCTGCAGTGATTCTTCAACAAAACACGGTCATTCCAAAAGAGAATGACAAAGAGAGTGGGTGGACACCGCGCAGAAACATCACATTTGAAGGTCAACTTACCATCTTTTACCAATGGTTCATCGTCTCAACGGACTACATATAGGGTCTACACGTCAACAAGCCAACACCACATTTTCTTGGGTTGTTGAACTAGTTGGCCAGTTCATCTGGCCAAAAGAAGCCATTGAAAGACGTCCGTCATCTGTCATCCTGCTCAACAAAAGCAGTTGGTTTTGACATGTTTTGAACATTCGGGGTCTGTCTTCCAATGGGGATGCGCACCAAGCAACCATTTGGTATTCACCCGTTTCACACCTCCCTTCACAATGTTTGGGCCCCTCTCCAGTGTGAGACAAACTAAGTTGAGCCGGAAATCTGATGCCATCCGGCCATACTCTATTTTTGGCACAGCTTATAATGGCAGGTGCAAAGATATAATACCAGCCGTCCATCCCCAGCTCAGACCAAGCAGCATAAAGCTCCAGGAACGTGTCCCATCTGGCAGGGAGTGGTTCGATGCTAAGGTGGGCAACTCCAAACTTGAAGGGAAAACAAAAACAGCACGAGGGTGGGAGGCCAAAAATCTCTCTCTCTCTCTCTCTCTTTCCCTCTGTCTCTATCCCCTCGCTCCCCATCTCCCTTAACAGAAGTCAGAAGGCTGCTGAATCACCACTGAGGAATCATTGAAACTGTGTTTGATGAAAGGAACGGGCATGGGAAAGGCAAGAATGTGGCGACTGAATAGACAGAACCGATGTCCAAAATGTTTGGAGCACATGCTTGCCTACCTTTGTACTCCGTTTTTTGGGTGCACTATCTGCAAAGCCTCGGAAAGAAAACCACCAAAGGCTTGTGGCTCTCATATCTTCTTGGCAACGCATCTTAGTGGCAAAAACCTTGGTTTGTCGCTAGCCAAACCTGATCGACAAGAAGCTGCCCAATCACACCCATGAAGAAATGATTCACTGCCTAATTGCCCTGCTACATCTTCAAACATGTCTGCCCTCATCAATGCCGTATCGACATCCTTCTTCATCCATATTCTCTTCTCCGCGGCCAAGGGTGCCTCCTATACTACTATACTCGATAACCACACATTTGTGAACGCACTTCCTCATGCATCCTGTATCTTAATCTTCTTCGTTGCTCCATCCTCAGAGGCTTTTCTTTTGAGGAACCGCTCCGACAGAGCCAGCACCCAGCCAGCACCTCTGCCTCAGACTGCGCCCTCAGCCCACTTGCTTCCTCGGTGGGGAGGGTTCAGTCACGGCATCGAATCCTGGTTCACTTGGCATGTCTAAATTGTAAACGCTGGGAAATCTCAAGTGGGCACATGAAATGCGGCAGTGCGTTTGACCTGGAGCACTGGAGCTCTCAAACACCCAAAGCAACCAGTAGGTCCAAGAAAATCGGAGCCCCATGGAAGGAGGTGGATCTTACAATATACACTCCTGAAAAACCCTGACAATGCTGGAAGATGGTTCCCCTCTACTAACCAGTGGTATTTCAGGGTCCATGTTAGTCTTCCAGGGTGTACTAAATAAAGTCTGCACCGTGCACATCTCCACAAACAAGTGACTCAAATGACATGGACATGTCAAAAGGCAGGTGGTCTCCATAGTGAGCAAGTTTTGTTCCAATTCTGAATCTGTTTAAGCGACCTCCACGGCTCTGCAAACTGAAACCACCCCTGTCGATTTCGCACACAAAACTTGACCCGACCCTCTGGATCTTGTGTGGATGGCGAATTTGCCCTATCTGTCCCCTCTTGCACCCGTTTGTAGAGTTTGTTCCCATACTCTGAAGCCACTGTACCCTCAGTGAGACCCTCAGGCCACTGGCATTTTTGGGTAGCCAAAGTGTCAGGGCTAGCGGCTAGCAGCTATCGGGGTAGCACATACTGCTCACACGCCACTGCCTGATATGCAAACCGTACAATGTACAAGGCTTTGGAGACCACAACTGCTTGCTTGTGATTGTTTGAGCCCAGCAGCTGAGCGGTTGGCATCCTTAGAATGCAGCGCCGATGTTGGATCTCAGTAGGCTAAGGATCTCAGGTGGTGATGAAAGTGACACCTCCGTGAGCCTCCTGCCGATGAGGCATCAGAAACAACACCAGCTTTGATGGACTTTTGAGGGTAGACTTCTTTCGTGAACAGAAGAAACAGGGTTCCTAGTTCCTACCATGTTCGACCGGTTCTGGGAAAGTTCTTTTGTCCAAGGTGTCGGTAGTCTTGTAATCCTGCGGATGCCCATGTCAGGTCCTTGCGGATTCACATGAAAGGACCTCTTTTCACATGAAAGTTAGATAAATGTGTAGCGTACGCTCATCAACACACATAAAGTTCAATTCAATGCCAATGGCGTTATCAAGCTGTAGGCCCATCCCAATCGGAGCTGTGCACATATAATCACATATATATAGGACACACATATATATATAGGGCACATACATATATATATATATACATTAATTGTAGTATACTGTGTGTGTAAATATATGTAATGTACAAATTCAATTGACGCAAACGCAAGCATGCATATAACTATAATCTATAATACTTACATATACTTACATACACTGATACTTACATCCCAGAACGTGAGTGACATGTATTCGATGATGGTGGTACCACCCATGCGCTCTCTCTCTCTCTCTCACTCTCTCTCTCTCTCTCTCGCTCTCCTGCTACTTACTTCGTGCTTGAGGATGCTGAAGACGCTGAAGATGTTTAGTGTCTTTTCGGTGAAACAACTTTGCACTTGAACAGCCAAGCTGCTCCAGCAAAGCGGCTAAGTTCGTAGGTTCGCTGACTGAGCAGGATGCAAACCAGGATCACTGATCACAACAAATCGTGATGCAGCGGCGATCGTTTTGCAGCGTTTCGCACACCGATGCTGTAGTAACTGTAGTATATCCGGAACACTCCAAATGAATTAAATAACAACAGCCTTGGATGAAGCACCTTTGTATAAAGTAAATGACAATGATCTTGAAAATAACTGACATCACACGTGCTATGACAAAACTCCCATGAAGGATATCCCATGCCCATGCGACATGCTACATCTACAACACACACGGACAAATGTCTCTCAAGAGCAGCATCTGTCGAAGATAGCTATGTTTTCCCCCGTGGTCGGCCCTGAAGGACCTATGTTGCCATGGGCAAAAAATCTGGGTGGTTGTGGGCTCGTTGTCGGAGGCCCAAACAACTTCGTGGAAGAATGGGAGACCGACGCTACGGTGAAAACACAGAGGAAGTCAGCTTCAATGTCCCTGACGACGCCCCCCTTGACTCCCCATCCTCCGGATGCTCCGAATGCTCGCCACCACCTGCGCCGCGTTGATGTACATTGCTCATGGGGTTCAACTGGTGCCAGCCAGGCTGAAACAACGACAGCAAGACCAAGCGCTACCAAGTGACTAGAATTGGACTCCTTAGCTATCACTTAGCCCCAACCAGTGTTTAAAGAGTCGTTTATGCTAATAATGATATACAAGTAGTTCCCGGGCAAGCCGGCGGCGGAAGTTTCCTATAAAAAGAAATTGACCTATAGGAGTGTCCATGTTCTCTCCAACATGCGCGTCCTCCAGTCAAACGCACGCGCTCCGGACTTGTGCCCCCTGCAGGATCAGCAGCTCACAACAGCGTACTGGGTTGTATCGTTGCCACGACAAGAGGGGTGTATGACGAGTGGTGTATGATGAGTGGTGTATTGACCGGCAGTTGAATGTCCTGTCCTGCATAAATGCAACCAAATACTATCAGTATGAACTGTGCCAAACCTGCACGCCGCGAGAGATGACTCAGCAGCGAGAGATGACTCAGCCGCGAGAGATGGCTATAGCGAGAGCTGACTCAGCAGCGAGAGATAAATGAGCAGCGAGAGATGACTCAGTCGCGAGAGATGACTCACAGCAGCGAGAGCTGATAAGGAGCGAGAAATGACTCCTCCGCGTACTACACTTGTACTACAAACTGGCCAGTTCTCAGCTTCCAGCTCCACAGGTTGTTCCGCGTGCTAAAGTTGTACTAGAAAGTCGCCAGTCAGTTCTCATCTTCCAGCTCCCCAGATGCTCCGCGTACTGCAGTTGTACTACACAGTCGCCAGTTCTCAGCTTCTAGCTGCACAGATTGCTCCGCGTACTAAAGTTGCACTACAAAGTCGCCAGTTCTCAGCTTCCAGCTCTACAGATTGCTCCGCGTACTAAAGTTGTACTTGAAAGTCGCCAGTTCTCAGCTTCCAGCTCTACAGATTGCTCCGCGTACTAAAGTTGTACTAGAAAGTCGCCAGTTCTCAGCTTCCAGCTCTACAGATTGCTCCGCGTACTAAAGTTGTACTACACAGTCGCCAGTTCTGAGCTTCCAGCTCTACAGATTGCTCCGCGTACTAAAGTTGTACTAGAAAGTCACCAGTTCTCAGCTTCCAGCTCTACAGATTGCTCCGCGTACTAAAGTTGTACTAGAAAGTCGCCAGTTCTCAGCTTCCAGCTCCACAGATACTCCGCGTACTAAAGTTGCACTACAAAGTCGCCAGTTCTCATCGTCCAGCTCGCCAGATACTCCGCGTACTAAAGTTGCACTACAAAGTCGCCAGTTCTCAGCTTCCAGCTCACAGATTGCTCCGCGTACTAAAGTTGTACTACAAAGTCGCCAGTTCTCAGCTTCCAGCGTGCCTGCCACGAAATCTGCCCATGGAGGTTCACAAAGTGCTGCGCCTGCCACGAAATCTGCACATGGAGGTTCACCAAGTGCTGCACCTGCCACGAAATCTGCACATGGAGGTTCACAAAGTGTTGTGCCTGCCACGAAATCTGCACATGGAGGTTCACAAAGTGCTGCACCTACCACGACATCTGCACATGGAGGTTCACAAAGTGCTGTGCCTGCCACGAAATCTGCGCATGGAGGTTCACAAAGTGCTGCACCTACCACGACATCTGCACATGGAGGCGCACAAAGTGCTGTGCCTGCCACGAAATCTGCACATGGAGGTTCACGAAGTGCTGCACCTGCCACGAAATCTGCACATGGAGGTTCCCAAAGTGCTGTGCCTGC